AGCAGAGAAGACGGCGCTCATTCACTTCACGCGGAACGAGCAGAGGTGGTCCGATCAGCCGATAGTGATCAAGGAAAAGGAAGTGCACCCAAGGACAGAAGCAAAGGTTCTAGGCGTTGTGTTCCACCAAGAACTCCGGTTCAAGGCTCATGCAGGTAGGATTGCGAAGAGGGCGTCCGGGCAGCCCTGGCGTTGAAGAGACTACAGGGCCTCCGACCGAGCAGCGTGCGCCAGCTCTTCGCGGCTACCGTGGCCCCGACGGTCGATTATGCCGCCCCAGTGTGGGCGCCAGCGATTACAGCACCGCTGATGAAGTCACTAGAGGCAGTGCAGAGAATCGCGGGCAGAGCGATCACCGGGGCGTTCAGGACGGTAGCGCTGCCCATCCTCGAAGCCGAAGCAGCGATTCTGCCGGTCGGGATCCGCCTCCACCAGCAACTACTTCGATTCTGGGTCAACTGCCACACGCTGCTGCAGAAACACCCGTTCTGGAAGCTGAAGCGCGCGATCGACCCGGCCAACAAGAGGTTCGTGTCCCCGCTGCAGCGGATCATGCTGATGGCTAGAGAAATCGACGTCGAGCACCTCGAAACGATCCGCCCGTTCGCGACAATGCCCTGGGCCAGCAGGCCGGTCGTTCGGATCGAGTCCCCAGAGGCAGCAAAACTCCGAGCCAGTTCTCCACCAGAAACAGAGGTCGCCATCTTCACGCATGGCTTGCGACGGAACGGAAAGGCTGGTAGCGGCATCTTGTGCGTAGACGGCAGGGGCACGACCGTCGTCGCCCACTCGTCCACGGTCGGCAAGTCCGAGTCAGTAGACGGATTATTCACAGAGCTCCACGCGATCCGGCAAGCCGTAGGACTAGTATATGGCACATGGTCAACCGAGATGGTGGCTAGATTCCCCGAAGCGACCAAGGTAAAACACGTCGTCTACAGCGATAACAAGACTGCCCTTCGTCTCCTCCACAAGCCTCGCCAAATGGCACGCCAGGAAACCGTTGGAAGCGTTCTCCAGTTACTTGACCAGATCAAATGCAACAGGGGCCCGCCAGTCGAGTTCAGGTGGGTGCCTGCGCACCAAGGTATTAAGGGCAACGAAAGGGCGCGTAGCTTAGCCCTGAAAGCCACGGAGAGCAGCCAAGAACTACTTTTAGACAATCTACTACGGTCTTCAGCTATGATACGGTGTAAGGAAGTCACTTTGAGGTTGTGGAGGAAGACGTTTGAAGTTTCTAAGGCTGGCGAGTCCATCTGCAAGCTCGACTGCGCGTTGGCGCACTTTCACATTAAGAAGCTCTATGACTAGCTAAATTGTAGAGAAGCGGCAGTCATCGCACAGTTAAGGACGTCGAAAGCGAGCCTGAACGAGCCATTGTACAAAATCAAGCGAGCAGAAGCACCCGCGTGCGACTGCGGAGTAGAGAGGGAAACAGTCAAGCACTTCCTCCTGGAGTGTCCGCGTTGGATGGATTTCCGGACTAAATTGCAAGTTGACCTGGGGAGCAGATTTGGGGATCTCGCGTTTATGCTGGGCGGATGTTCGGGCACGAGAAAGCCTGACGGTAAGTATGTAGACGGGTCGCCGGAAAAGTGGCGTGCAGACATGCGCGCAGTCAAAGCGACGGCAGCATTCGCTCTGGCTACTGGAAGGCTGATCGCAGCCAGAGACTGAGAGCTCAGTCCTTCTCAAAGCAAAATCAATCCCTTCTCCAACCAGCCGTCACGCCACTACAGGGACTGACAGCACTCGAGAAGCAGTCTCGAAGGGGATGGTATGAGGGGTGCATGAAGGATGGATCTATTTCACGTTTCTTTTCTTACTTTTCTTGCGCGCCGCTTAATCTCTCTACTGGTACTCTCGTTTGCATCTGCGTTTTGGTTCGTTGGATGGGAGAGAAGGATGTTTTCTTTGTATACAGCGTGCTGGGCCTCGAATGAACCGGGATCCCAATGTAGCTTACCGTAGAATAGCGTTCCTTGTCCCTATGGCCCGTGGAGGCCGACGGGGTGTATGAATCATCATCATCATCGTCATCATCCTACGGAGTCGTCGTTCGCAGCCAGAGCATTCTGCCCTAGATAGTGGCTAGAAGCGAGCGTAACGGCGGGCCTCTGCCTCAAGGATCCAAACACCAAAGTGGGTGGAAACCTGTCGAAGGGTTTTCCTTGAATGGGTACAAGAAGAGGGTAAGAACGAAGTATCGCGACTAAGCACTATGTGTGCGAAGGTTATTCGGGCTCAATCAAGTCAGTGGTGTTCTCGCCAGACGACAGTCTCATCGCTTCAGCGTCACATGATAGTCCGATCCGCACTGGCCCTACATTCTTTAGCCATTTCCCAAAAAAAAATTACCATCTTTTTATAGGGAAGAATGGGTCCATGTAAGCCGTGACCGTCTGATTCGGCTTCCACGAAAGTATCAACCAGCTAGAGTTGAAGTAACCGCAATCTATAGAAGTAGCGTAGTAGTTAGATCCTCGAACGGGCGTATATTATCCATAGCGTTTAGTTTTTTACCGAGAAGCATTACCATTTCATCTTAGTCTGAAACAGTATCATAGCTATATAATGCCAATTCTAATCTGCAATTAAGAGCAAGGTAGAATCTATCACTAAAACAAATCTGCTTCCTAGAAAAGAAAACATTTGCGGCTTTTCTTTTTTTTTAAAAAAAAACCATTATTATTTATTATATACTCGTTTATTAGTATCGTCAGGTTAAATGTATAGAGCGAGAGCTGACTTAGTGCTAAGCAATAAAGAATAGGGGAATCTCGCGGATGTGGTAGAAATTCAAGGCGATTGTTTAGGCTATTGGCAAGGTGCTAGGAGAAGGGTTGATCTTATATACGAGGGTTTATAGCATTAACGTCTATGCTAACGTATTATTGGTTTCAAAGCCACATTCCTGACTAAACTTGTGCCGTAGTACCCAATATCGGGTTCGAACAGATTTAGGCGTTCGCATAGAGAATGGTGAGATTAATCACCGCCATGGCTTCCTAGCTTCAACCAAACTATAAAGGAGTTGGTCATCTTCTAAAGACCAGCGCTAGTTTTTCGCCGAAACTTCGTCTCTAGACTCGCCCCTAGACTTCTCTTCTAACATGGCTTCGTCACTGCTTAAACCCTGATAGCCCTGGTCGGAAGGGCCGTCGTAGTTATTATTCGGGACTGGGAGCGCACTCACGAAGCTTCCGTGGGACGAACTTCGTAATGTCCCTATAAGAAGCTATATTGCCGGTTATAGCTATTTGAAGACGACATTCTCCATATTAGGGAACCGAATATCGGTTATGTGAAGAGCGTGCACACTTGTGAAACTAGGTAGGACAGCAACGAAGTACGAGAGCTCCGAGGCTATAGGTTGTATAGTAATATCTCGCGAATAGATTTGCCCGATATATGACCCAGCTGAATCCGGCTGCACAAACGGGATATTGCGGGTTTCTAAGATCCTAGAGTTTGCGAGACAATCGGATCACATACGAGACGTCTAGACCGTGCTCTAGTTTTTGCCCGGGGTGAATTGCATGCTGCCGCTCGTCTCTTTCGATAAGACACGGTCCGCGAGGAATGAGTCCGGTAGGGCTCTGAAGAGCGGTCTAGGCCACGTCAACGTGGCCGCGTATGTTGTAAGCTATCAGCTTCTCTGTAGCGTGAAGTGGTATCCTGTAGAGTATATGCGGATTCACATTCACCTCTCCGCCTCAGAGAGGGTGTACGTTCCAAGTAAGAAAACTCCGTAGGCTCTTAGAACAGAAAGCCGTCGTCACCCTAGACTTAATCCCTCGGTGCTTCAACAGCGCCTACCATACATATTGTATTGATGAAGTTGCTCTCGGGTAGTGACTTACAGGTAAACTTACTCTCGTCAAATCGGGGCGACTATCTACTGCGCTTGCCATTTCGTTGATACGAGGCAGACTGTCCAAATCCACAATCTAACATGTCCATGTCGGACTCTATTTGACTGAACACGCTGCGTTTCCTCTTGCCGGAAATATGTAATGGAGTAGGCTCGCTAATCTCAGAGGGATATATAAATAAATCGTCAAGAGTGGCATCTTCTAGTTCTGATGAAGGTCGTGACAAATTCGTTTTTAGCGAAGTTGACTTCGTCACCAAGGGGGATCCCCGAGCACCTAGATGTTTAGATGTGATTAGCCACGACTAATTAGGACGCTTCCTAGTGAAAGTCGAAACAAGGTTCGGTTACCGTACCCAAGGCTTTCTCCTTCTAAATAACGTCCACTGGTGCTTTCTGCTGATCGAGGGAGTCTGTAAGCTTGCCGTGCAAGGGAGATGCATGTATAGCGGCACCAGCGGCACCCTAGGAACCTTACTAAATGAGAGAGCAGAAGAAAAACATACTCATCGAGCACAGATAGTAAACAAGCTGGGGGACCAAACTTCCTAAGCGCGTCAATAAAACATGACCATGCAGGCGCCTTGCAGAAATTTCGTTGGCTCAATAAATGCTGAGCTGCAGAACAAGCATGGCGTATGTTGTATAAGACCGTACCATGCATCCTTGTTACTGGTACAGTAAATATTCCACGCCCCTAAAATGTGAGCATCAGCTTCTCCGGCTTACTCCAGCGCCGCATACTACGCTTTACATCTGCAAGCTGCTATACTAGACATTCAGAAAATTCAACGCATGCTTGCGTGGCCTTATCGTACACGTCCATACCACGGCTCTCTGCAGGAATGTACTATCGCCGAATGATACCGTGCAATGCCTCGTCTGCGGATCAATGTGGTCTGAACCTACCATGTCACCAGCGTATACCCTGTTCGTGATACCTGTAATCGTTACGCTAGCGCTCGGCTACAGCGTTCTGCTGTGGCCACTGATGTGCAACACCAGCATCTGAGTCTCTTGTATTCACGCAGAGAGCCTGGTACATCAAATATGAGCTAGTTTTTGGCTCATCAAAGAGGGAATTACCGTGAACAACACGGCTCTTAACGCTATTGACTTCCGCATGTAGATTATCGCCTACTTCGGCCTCCCTTTGCCACTAAATGAGCGGGCTTCTTTCCACCTCCATGGTCATCTCCGCGGTCTTTTCATGTCATTCTGCATGTGACTGCCTCAGCCCGATCACCGTGACATCGAAATCGACCTCGAGATCGACAATTTAATCCGCGTCGGCCAAGCTCAGAGTGACCGTAGTTTTACCTGAACCTTATCTTCGACCGTCAATATGGAAACCTTGCAGAATTTCGTACAAATATTCCGCTCCGACAGTCGCCCTACATTTTTCATAGACACCTCTGAGGTCGACATCAAGAATACTGTACGCTATTGCAATCCGGCATGCAGAAAGATCATAGAAGCGGGCATTAATGCTTCAAGCGTCTGCGATGACCTACTAGCGACTATTCAGCGGTTTATCAATCCTTGCATTCCTGTTGAGGCTACATAGTGTAGTATTCTAGGACTATGATGGAAAAGGATCACGTTGCACGAGGGATTGCTATTGATCCAATTAGCAGAGGGACAAGGTGTTTTCCAACAGACAAAGAATGTGTCGATACTTACCGCAAAGCTACTCCGTAACCAAAACGGAAAGGAAATTCTTGAATCTCGACCATATTTGAAGACGACTGTATCGCATCTGATGAATTCCCCGGCGGAAAATACACTAAATATGGATGCACTTACTCTCAACGGCCAGCTGGATCTATTCCCTATTGGTTACGCAGAATTCAGATTCAATGGATCCTACATAGTTGCTAACGAAGTCTATCTCAGGCTTGTCGGCTCAACAAACATCGATTTCCGACACGGTGTGCTCGGGGAAACGGTCATAACAGGTGGAGAGGATCAGCTTAAGAGACAGTTGGCAGCATTTGCTGCTCGGAAGTGCACCGAGCCGTTCGATATCTTGACGAAACGGCTATGACTGGACCATACGCCACACACATCGCTTTCGGTTACCTGCGGTTTCAGAGTGGGAGCAGGCAATAAAGGGACTGGACTCGTTGTTTGTGTAACAGACATAACCGATCAAAAGTCCTGGAAGGATAACGATGACCAGTCGTCGACAGAAGCGTACACAAGCGACAGGCAGACGAAGATGTCGAAGGATCTGGTATTACACGAATTGAAAAATCTACTTTTAGTAATTCTACAGTCTGCAGACTCGATCTTGAGTACAGTCAGGCATTAATCTAATCACAATAAGGTCATTCCATTGGCTCAGATGTTCATGGCCTTATCTTCACTGAATCTTAGGTTCATGGCGAGATTTATGACGCGGCGAGCACCATAGAGCTATATGTGGAGCACCAGG